ATATTCTGTGAAGACTACAATATACAGCGAGGCAATGAGAAGAACTGGACCTGGTGTGTGAGTGTATAAATATACAAGAAGCTATTTTTATCCAATCTTGCTATTACTGACCATGTGGTGTAATCTTGGGCTATTTGTTGTAAATAGCTAAAAGTGGTTCATAATTCTTGGTGTGTTTTGCTGTTTCTTGCGCTGGAGGATCTGCTCCTTCCCCACGCATGCCCACGAGGACAAGGAGTCATAGTGGTGGCCACTAGCAGCGCCAGAAGGAGCGTCCATTCAAGCACATTCAACCAGGATGGTGTGCACGTTTTTTTTAAAAGCTCAGGCTCCTCTTTTTTACATGAGTTATTCTTAATTATTGATTTGATCTGTAGGATTTACATCAGGTTGGCACAATTTGATGAACTTGAATTGTTTTATGTTGGTCATTATAATTTTTGTGAGTTTTTGTTGTTAGCCCGTTGCAACGCACGGGCACTTTTACTAGTATCAACTAAATTGAAAAGGTGTCCTTCCGTGTCATGCCGCGGTCATGGTACGTAGTTACGGTGGCCGGCTACATGGGGCCGTACCCCTTCACCAAACAGGGTTCAACATTTCTTTGCCGCATTTTTTTTTCTTTAGTTCCTTTTTTTGCGGCAATAACTTCTAATCTATCAACTATCACGGTAGTACAACAACATCGTTTAATTAAAACCGTACCCTACAGCGCACCAACAGCATCGTCTCATGAATTCGCTGCTAACCAACTGTTAAAGAAAAAAGAATTCGCTAATACTCCCGACCACTGACTTACCCATCAGATATACTACAATAAATGAATTATTTGACTTACCCATCAATTCGCTGCTAACCAGAATCATCAATTGGAAAACGCCTGCCGCTGATTACAAGTGCAAGCACTAGGAAAAATAGCGACAACTTGCTTAACATGTGACTGAATTTTCGTACGCGTTGTTTTTGTCATTTGACGGGCAAATGAAAATATATATACTACTAAAACATTTAAAAAACATATTTATAAAGAAGATTCGATTTTAAGAACCAGTCTTCTAGATAACAGAAAAGCGGAGTAATTTTTTTTAAACGGGGGCAAATATTTGCCTTATAGATTATTAAGCAGAAGAAAATTCTCCAGTTAATTGATGGAAAATATGGCAAAAACCGTTACAACATGACATGCAGACTACTCCCAAATCGTGAATCTCCAAGACCACCCAGCAAATGATACAAACACATCCAACCCAC